AATTATAAAAAAGAAAAGTAATAAAAGAGGGTTAAATTGAAATCTGCTGAAGAATTTACTTCCTTTAAAGCCATGCAGCAGTGGGCTGTGCCCCCTTCTCTCAGGTCCTCAAGGTGATCCCCTTGGGTTTCTTTGCAAAGAAGGAAAGACAGGGGTTCAACTTCCAAGAAGGCAGACTACAGAAAGAGGAAGACAATTAAGTCAGTTTTCTACTGGAGATTCTAGGGCCAACAGCATTTGTTTCCAGGGAATCAAGCATCTTTGAGTTCTGATTGCAAAGGGGCATGTACAATTCAATAATTTATTCATCTCTTCAGAAATCACCATGGCCTGGCATCTTGACACTAGCAAAATTTTCCAGAACTCTGATGCACTGCAAAAAAATGTGCAAGACCTACAGGAAAACCTTGTGTAGTAACTCACTTCCTACCAGCCAAAGCAATGAAACAGATTAGTAGATACAACATGTAAATGGGCAACGCTTCCAGCAACCTCCAACTCATCTCACCAAGCAAGAGTACAACTACTTTTGGAAGCATGCAGCCCATTATGTTACACACATACAAAAGACCAATCCAGGTAGCATATCTTCTGAACACTGTCCAACCTTCTGGGTGGACATTTTCCCAATATGACTCAACAATTATATATTTACTTGCCCTAATGCACTTCAGGTCTCCCATCACTATAATTTCTTAGCTCCTCATATGCTTTCGTCTGTTCCCACAATCCCACTCTGGGAAGGCATTACTGTACTGTTTTACAGATGAAGAGAACAAGCAACTAAGAAAAAAGTTCATCCAGGATTACAGAAGAAATCTGCATCCTAGCAGTTTTTCCCTTCCCTGCCCCAAAAGACTAGCACCCTGAAAAACAGAGCTCCACATGTATAGTGCACTTCCACCCCCTTTCTCTATCTTGCCCCAAGTTACAGATTCAGAGTACACAAAATTAACAAGCCACATGAGTTACCGGATGGGTAACTGAGCGGTACAGGACATCTGAGGCACAACAGTTAGATGACAGACACATTTCCACAAGGGTTTAAACCCCACATGCTGTCTAATTACTCCCAAGGCGCCGCTGATTCTGTGGCATGTCATCAGCAGAATCAGCGAGTTGGACAAAAAACAAACAGCATCTTTTTTTTCCTTTCTTTTCTTTCAGATACTCTGAGGGGAAACAGCTGTTTTTCCCTTCATCTGAAGAAGTTCATGATAAAAAGGAGGAAATGTCATAAATTACACAAAATGCCAGTGTAAGCTTCAAAGAAAATGATAAATGATTCTAATAACTTCATGTTTCTCATTAATGCCTCTGTATTTGGGAGTTTAAAAGTGCTTAAGACAACAGAGAAATCTCATCCAAGTTTTGAAAGACCTTTTACAAATCCAGGACACCCTCGCTCTCCCAACTGTCATCAACACTAGCATCCCATGTTCTGGAGAGAGCAGTTCAGCAAACCCCTGACCTGCAAATAACCAGAAAAGCCTACTTGCAGCCTCTGCAATTACTGTTTCACAAGAAACCAAACCCAGTCCAGCTGATGATCCTTAAGAAACTTTCAGTTTTCACTGCACTGAAATGTATTAAACAAAACTCAGTTCCTATATTAAATGTTAAATAATATTAAAAGGAAATAAAATTTGATTGGCCTTTTTTAGGAAGGAGATGCTTATAAAAAAGAAGAAAAAATTATAATTCAAGGCAGAACCATCTCTGCAAGTGTCAGAAGGAAAATTTCTTAGGCAAAGTTGGGATTGCAGGACGTGAAAGCTCACCCACAGCTAATTTTCCAATCCTATCCCTGTAGCCTACATAGGCTGTAGCTGGAGTAGTGGAGGGCTTCTGCAGGGGTAGGGCACCTGGTCTTTTCCCTCCACATTCACAGACACAAGGTGACCCAGCACCACCCCCTCCACTGGCAGGAGTTTTTAACCAGATTTAGTGGGGAGTCATAGACCTCTCCTGCACAGTTCCACGAAAGTAACTACAAAAAACAAGTTCATACATGGTGTACATCTATAGATATGAAGATTCCCCTCCACTGAAATTCTTCTGAGGTCCATAAACCCATCTTCTACTGCAATTTCTGCTTGAACAAACTTAGATCAGAGTAACTGTGAAAAAATACAAGGCTACCTCTGCATTTGTAGGTACCTTCCTACAAAGACAATTTTAAAAGAGACTCCTGTAACTGAAATGGTTTCTCTACAGAAAATGCTTTTTGACTGGCAGTGAGGACTCCCCTACCAGACAGCCTAACTATCTGTAAAATGGGGATGAACATTTTCATTGGGGTGACAATGACTGTTGTTGTGGTTTAACCCGGCAGGCAGCTAAAACAACCACACAGCCTTTTGCTCGCTTCCCCTGCAGTGGGATAGGGGAAAGAATTGGGGAAAAAAAGGTAAAACTCATGGGGTAAGATAAAGACAGTGTAAAAGGACAGAAAGTAATAATAATAATAATAGTAGTAGTAGTAGTAATATACAAAACAAGTGATGCACAGCACAATTGCTCACCAACCACTAACCAATGCCCAGCTAGTTCCTGAGCCGCAGTCACACTCCCAGCCAGCTTCCCCCAGTTACATACTGAGCATGACATCTTATGGTATGGAATATCCCTTTGGCCAGTCTGGGTCAGCTGTCCTGGCCATGTCCCCCCTCAGCTTCTCATGCACTCTCAGCCTCCTTGCTGGTGGGGCAGGATGAGAAGCTGAAAAGTCCTTGACTTGATGTAAACATTATCTAGCAACAACCAAAGTATCAGTGTGTTACCAACATTATTCCCATCCTGAATCCAAACCACAGCACTATACCAGCTACTAGGAAGAAAATTAACTCTATCCCAGCCAAAACCAGAACAACTGTATATCAGAGAATATGGGGAACAGCCTACCAAACTGTGTAATCTCTCATTTACTCAGGAATAAACTAGCCACGACATTGATGTTTCAAGAATAACTGCCTCCACCTCCTAGAGCACATAGGTACCAAGACAGTATGAGCAGAGCTCTCGAGCACTGAACAGAGGTCAAGTTGTGAGCTCAGTGGTCAGATTCCATATGGACGTATTTCCAGTGACTGCTGGGTACAGGCACTACTGAGGCACTACTGGACCCTGCTCCTTCCTATCGCCTACTGTTAAGTTTTCAAACAAACAATTAGCACAAAGGGAAGAAGGGCTAATTAACAAACAGGAACAAACAAACAGTTCTACCAAACCATTTCTGCTCTTTGGTAATTATTAGCCAAGTAATTCATAAGAAGTATTAGTTGGGCCACAGTTTCTCTGTGCCTCTGTCTCCCCACCCTTCCTCTTCTCCCAGTCAGGGATTTATTAAAATTAAACAGATTAGATGGAGCTCCTGATACTAAAAACTGTTCAGCGAAGCCTGCGGTGGGGAAGTGCAGAGCAAACACCAGAGACATTTGTCTCTAAATTGCTCTAAATACCTTCTGCAAATGAAATTCTAACCCAGCTGTGTTGAGAGAGAAAATGAGGAATAACTGGTCATTGTCAGCACTGAAGAAGATCAGGCAGTTATAATATTGCACGATATACTGGGGGCTAAGGATCTCTCGGCAACAATAGATTTTGTATCAGGTTACCCCGGGTAATCAGCACAGCTTTTAGGCTCAGCTTTCCCTTGCTTCATTGCTTCGATGATAGAGTTGAAATCCCCAAGCTTTTATGATTAATTACTCCCCGTAGGTCCACATATTTCAAGGAAAAACTCATGGAGCACAGCAGCCAACAGGCTCCAAATTTTAATGCCATCCTGATGGCAGGGCAGGACAAGCAACATACCTATGTGATTGGAATGTTCTCTAACTGGCACTAGGACAAGCAGCAAGAGGATCACGCTCAAAACGATGTACGCATGAAGTACCTGTCATGACATCATTGCTAAAAGACAAGACTGCCATTCCCTTCTAGGTCCTTTGTTATTCAAGATGAGCAAAGTGGTGCATATACTTGAACTCTCCATCTCATGACACCAGGTCTCAGGCATCACAATAAACAGTTCATAACCCCAAACAGAATAATACATATTTCATAGGCTTCCCTACTTGTCAAAACTCAAGATCTTTAGCTATAGAATTTGATGTACACTGAAGTAGTTACGACTTCAATGTATAAGTGGGTCACTCCCCTCTGAAGTTTGGAGTTTGTATTTTCAGTATCATTCTAACTGCTTAAAGTGCTCCATAGTGCATGTAATTAACTCCAAGGTAACACTGTCCTTATTATTTACATCTTGCTGCAAAGATCTAAGCAATATGGTCCCAGGAGGGTAGCACGATATGGAGTGAATTTCACCTGAAATGCACTATAAATTGTGGACTAAAAACTTTAGAAAGAAAAAAAAAAAGAACAAAAGATAGTTCCACTATGAGTCAGAAAGTAAAATAAATTCTCAGCAGGCAATGGCCAAAGTATGTTCCATCTGTCTAAGACGATATAGGATTTGTCAGGATCTGTTCTATCCCTGCTATAGAAAAGGGCTAATCTCAGTCAGTAGTTTACCATTTCAGCCTGAAAGTCAGGGTGACCCCAAGCTAGACCTTAATCTGACCTTGTTTACTTTCACCAAGTCCTTCGCCCTTCATTCCTCTCTCTGGCTCTCTTCAGAAACATTCGACCTTTTCACCTAGAAGCTGGTCATTCTAAAGCCAATGTCACCACAGTTAGAACTGACCAACTAGTCCACAACTCTAAACTGTCCTCATTTCAGAAAAGATCCGATAATAGTTAACCCAAAATCTTCCAATGTGTCTTCTGTATTCTACAATTACACATCTGGTGCCAATATTGCTCTCGTCAGTTTGGAAGAAAAGAGACTGGTATTTCTTACAAACTTCAAATCTTTTTCTGAGACAGACTACTTGCTTTGTCCTTAACATCTAATTTTCCATAGCAATACATTTTGGCTTTATGCTAACTCAAGCTCCCTCATTATCACTGAGATCACAAACTTAAAAAGTCCATACCTTTCTTCTTCAGAAATGCTCTTCTTGTTGCAACAGAACTTTGGCGGACTCGTGGATTCTGTAAAAACTTCACTGCTGTCACAATCTGATGAGGGTAGGAGGATTGGAGAAATAGAAGAGAGAAAAGATCCAAGTTAGAAATAGTCAAATTCCCATTTTACATTATGCATTCTATACTACGAAGTAAGGTATCACATCCAATGCATGGAAGACAGTCTGGGACTGACACCAATCCAACTTTCAGAAATGGTTCAACAAGCATCAGAGTGTGTGGCTCAACTCTAATCAGATATCACAGTCATGGTATTTCAACCTAGAAGTTTCTCGCTGAATTACTCTTGGAGCAGCTCAACCAGTACAAAAAATGCCATTAAGATTGTTAGGAGTTTCTGTCATTTATATTGTGACCTTCTTACCAAAGTTGGCTTCTATAGTTGAGGGCAACCTTGAGACAATGGATGTGATCTGTAACAGTAGGCTTACTAGTAAGAATGCTTCCTTTCTGACTTAACACTCCCTGCAAATTCTAAGAGATTAAGGCCTTTTCTGTCGTACTTCTAATTTACTGAAATCATAAATAAACCCCAGCTTGCGGTGACTGGACAAGAAGCAACTTTACATGTTTTGGATCACATAACAAAAATATCCAAAAAGTCACTTTTCATGACATAAATGGGTAGGTGAGTGGTTAAATTAATATTTCACACCGGCAGAAATCACTTTTGTCGAAAGACTGACTTCTACATCCTTCTTTAAGGTGACACAGCACTTAAAAACCCCACTTATCCAAACAAAAGGTAAAGTACGGAATAATACTCAATGGAATTGACGACAACAGCACTAGTTTTTTACATTTCCATTTAGTGCCAATGAAAGGTATTCAGGTTTTTTTTCCATGTGATAGGTCAACTTTCCACATACTCTCCTATACTATTACATACATTATTACATGTTGCTGCACTAGTGATTTACTTCACTTTTACACAAAGACATCTATTCTGCTTGTGGTATCGGAATAATGTGCCTGAAGTTAACACCACTTAGGAGATGGACACACCCCTGTGAACTAGTGGAAGAGATTACTTCCTTCCTCGAGAGCTAAAAATAACCATGCATATGCATGGAAGAGGTTTTTCCTCCCCATACAGTGGCATAAACCTTCTCCTAAAATGGCGGTATATGCTAGACCTATATTAGGTAGGTCTTGAAGAGTTTATTTTAAAATACAGTTTCTGGAATTCAGTTTCAAAAAGGTTTTCAAAACTTTTCACAGCAGAAAAAAAAAAAAAAAAAAAAATAGCACCACTACTGAAATCACTAAGTTTCACTTTGTGTTTCAATCAAACCTTTCGAATATGCATTTCTGGTCAGAGAGCAAAGTTCTGATGGGTTTAATGGCACTTTCAATGTACTCCTCAGTGCATTCCATCAATGTTTTTTTTCTTTTAAATTGCATCTCTTATTTCTTTAAATACATTAATCAGGCTAGTGTAGGCAAAACGGATCCATTGGACAATGCAATAAACATGAATTATCATCTATCCAACACGCATAATGGCTTAAAAATACATAATAGCAGGTGTAGTTTAAATGATTAGTTATTACACCTGTGGTGGGTCTGATTCAATTGGGGAAAATCATCTTTAATAGGTTAAAAGGTTTAGATCACCAGGCTTCCCTTAAAGTGGCTGTAGAGAGGGTATGATGGAGTACGCTGTCATTACTAATTCATTTAAGAAAAACATGGGGGATACAGCAAAGAACAGCATAAACGAGCGAATCCAATTTAAACATCAGGTAAAGCAGAAAACACCTTTTAAAAAAGCATGATAAATGAATTTGGAAGAGAGATGAAATTGACATATTTATTTTAACAGGAATTTGACAAAGTCCCAGCATACTTCAAAGTTGGGAAGATAAAATGAATGGGGTATTTTTAATTCTTTTCCTTTTCTTATTTTCCTTCATTTTTTTCCTTAAGTTTACATTCAGTAATTTTGAACCATAAAACACTATAGCAAAATACCCCACATAAAGTACACTTCGGTTTCATTTATGTGCACTTGATCTGTCTCCAGCTGAAACGCAGGTGACAGGCAAATCACAGATTTAAACTGTGCTGATATTGCTATGCCAGATGCAGAAATATAAAGCGCCTCAACTAATAACCTTAAGATAATATGCTGAATAAGAAAGATGCCCAAATGAGCAGACCAACAGATACGCGAACATATCAAAATCACTTTCCTTCTAACAATAATTACTTGTTTGTTTCTTCAGAAACTCAACACTCCCTCCCACATTTAGTGAGCTAGAGACACACACACAAAAAGCCTGCAGACCTGAAATTCTGCAAGCTCTCACATTTAATTATCAGGTTTTAAGCATTGAAAAACCTGTAAGAAATAAGCAGTATTTTTCATTGTGCTACTTCAATCACAATCATGCGAACATTTTATTGATTCTAACTCTTTATTAAAACTTATTTTTGCCTTGTAAAAATGTAAACATTTCAGTAGTAAATTTCACTCCAAAATAAACTTCTATTTTATCTCTTCCCTGCATCACTTCCTCCATTATTCACATCATTTTTAATCTTAAAACAAAATATTACAAGCAACAACAAACTTCATAAAAAAGGGTCCTGTATATGTATTCCTCCTCCCAATAATCCCACGTTTCTCATATTTGTGTCTGCATTTACCTCTGAACATTCCTCCTATAGGCTGAGCTGAAACGTCTTCATTTTTATAATTCATCTTGTATACATGAGCAACTTATGAAGCAATTTTGGCCACGTCAAAATGCCAATATTTTCAACAAACACACACAAGAACTTTCCTACCTTCTATGGATCATTTTCTTTGCACAAATAAGGGCAACTGCAGTCCATAATTTAAACAACAGAAAAAGGATGAGGAAGATGAGAAGACTTTGCAGCCCTGTGTATAGCTAAAAAAAAAATCATGCAGCAAATAGCACTCTGACTCAGCTGGTAACATTGTTCCATACTATTTCGGTATCATTTGTAACACTTCTCCAAATTTTTATAGTATTGAGACACCGCTGAATAATGTGCATTGTATCACTACTGTGATTCTTAGACTGCCAGCACACGCTGGCCAGCAAACTAGTTTTATCTAGTGATCAGGTACGTATTTCTCTTAATGAAAGACAGTGTATTTGGCCTTTAAAATCAAGTCAATCCCAGAAACTTGCTATCCCACCATCACTTCTCCTGCAATGATATGATACACAGAGACATATTTCCGACTGGGTGGTGGTGGGTGCAATCCTGCAGCAGGTCTTGTTCTACAGTTTGATTTTCTAATTAGAAGATGAATGTAACTATTCATGGATTATATTTGTGTCTGGCCAAATTACATAAATTCAGGACAAATATTCTGCTTCAATGTCAAAGATATAAAACGGAGACAGGAACTTTATTGCAGATGTTGTGGGAGTGCAGCAGGCTGGTGAAATTCTGGGGCAAAGCACAGCACTTTTGACGTTATAGCCAAAGTCCCTCATTCCTAATTTCCCTCCCTTTTGTGTTAATGTGGAAGGTAAAGCCAGCCTTATTTCTTATTATGCTCAAAGATGCAGGGTTTCCAATGAAGCAATCTAAACTACTTTATCAGTTACTAGCATTAGAAAAATAAGCCATGAAATTTAAAATACTGTGGCAAATGCCCACTTTTTACCATCTCCCAAAAAAAACCCCAAACAAAACCCAAAACAAAACACCAAACAATCTATTAACAAAAAATCACCTTCATCAAGAAAGTTCCACAGTATTCAGTAACAGACTTCCACGTGGAAAACAGAATCAAAAGCCACCAGGAACGCAGCCTGTAAGAGCTCTAATAGATTTCCTAATACTGGGAACCCTCTGTAGGTTATTACTAAACGGCATTTGTTGATAGACTGAGACTTTGAGATGACCTGTGATGTAAAGGTTGGGTCTGAATTATACGTTGCAAGGGATGGTATTTTGTCTTTCTGAGTGGATCTGTATCTGTTTAAATGCAACACTTCTTTTCATTAAGCAGAGGCGGCACAGGCCATGAACTATGCACAGACAGTTTACATTACATGTGCGGAAGCAATCAACACTGGCAATATACATGACGTATGTAAAAGAAGTTGGAATTAATTTTTTTCCAGTGTATTAAAAAATAATAATATGGCAGTATCAACAAACACTCAACCTATTTCAGCCAGAGCAGAAGGCCACAGCTATAGGGCAAATGGAACTGATCAATATATTAGCCTACAGCAACACCCCCTCAGTGTACGGCTGTATGTTTGCAAGGCTCAGAAGATTAAATTGTCTGTGAAAGGTTTCTGCACTCCTACTCTAAAGGAGATACCCAGAATCCTGTTAACAAGCAGCAGGGTAAAGCCAACTTACGTTTTAACAAGGGCTGACTTAAAAGCCTGGCACTGCAACGAACAAGAAAACCCCTTCAAACAGAAATGCTGCATTTTAGTAAGAAATCAGTGCTCTGCCAGGACTAGCTTGACAAATATGGTTATCGGTGGCACACGGAAATAGTTGCAAAGCAGCTGTTAATCAGGGAAACACATCATAGAACGCTGATGCTAGCACTCATGAAAAAATGCAAGGGGCTAATTATGAAGCCATATATCTCACTAAAGAGGCACTGCTCCTGGAGATTCCAGGCAGAGCTCTCTTAGAGTCGGGGTCCTGGGACACTTACATACACAACGTTCTCTAACACAAGCTTCCTTCTCCCAGGACAAACCTTTTCCCAATTCAGTGTTCGGGGCCCCAGAATTCCTGTGAAATTCATATTTTACAGAAACTGCTTGTTATTTCTAAAGAAATTATCTGCAGGTCGGTCAGGAGAGAGGAAGCACTTTAAACCTCCTGTGATTTCATTGACATTTTTATGAATCCATGCAGAACCCCAGGCATTATTTCTGTCGTGAGAGAACCTAGAAACCTACAAAGTTTGGCAGATCTCAAAGTTGTATTGAGAAAAGTTTAAAAATGCAATAACAAAAATAAAAAACCCTCATGTAAAACAGAGCAAAGAAAAAAAAAAATACAATTTAAAG